CATTTCCAAATAGGATTATACCCATGGGTATAGGAATGAGGAGGAGCCCTAGTGACAGTGATTAAGGAACTCAGCTGCTATGTGAAAAGCTGACAATGGGACCCCACTGCAGAGAGAAAAGACCTATCTGCTCCCATTCAGATTTATGGCCTTGAGGCAGTTCTACTCTGTCCGGTAGTGTTGCTAGGAATTGGAATCAACTTAATAGGAAACCACAACATAGGGGTTAGAATTTACAATATATATTTTGGGAGACACAATTCAATATATAAAACAGGGGGACAGGCTTGTGCTTTAGAAAGACCCCTTTGGGAATTAGAGAGGGTGAGGCTGGGACCAGGAGGCCAATTAAGAGCTAGGACAAGACCATGAGAAAGGAAAGGATGGAGAGATTTGGGGGATAGACTTGAATAGCACTCAGAGACTGGTAGGCAGTAGGGGTGAGAAGGAGGAGGCCCAGGTCTCCAGTTCTGTAACAGGGTGTATGGTGGCACTGGGCCTGAGATGGGGATCCAGAGGCTAGCAAGCTTGGAGGTCAGTCAGGAATGTGGCAGTTAGTAAGTACCTAGGGACAGCCTAGGGAGAAGCTTTAAAAGTCGTTCAATTCTCTAGGGCTCAGGGAAGAGGACTACTGCAGATGGACTGTTTTGTTGTTGTTGTTGTTAAGGGTTGTCGAATTGATTCTGACTCATAATAACCTGAACAGGGTTTCTGAGGAGTGGCTGGTGAGCTTGAACCACCAACCTTGTGGTCCAGCGCATTAACCTGCAACACCACACCAGGATTCCTATAGAAGCAGCTAAGTTGTTGGTGCGTGCGTGTGTGTGTGTGTGTGTGTGTGTGTGAGAGAGAGAGAGAGAGAGAGTGAGAGAGATGTGTGTTTAGGTCTAGGAAGATATACTTTTATAATTTTTGGAAGATCACTGTAGGAGGTAAAGACATTATTGCTTTTTCATATTTGATCATGATAAAATAACTGTAACTTTTCTGTGGTGGTGGTGAAACATATGTAAGGCGTCAACCATTAAGCACTTGATTACTAATTAAAGGTTCAAACCTATCCAGAGGCACCTCACAAAAAGGTCTGGCAATCTGCTTCTGAAGGATCAGAGTCATGAAACCCTTATGCACAGGTAGAGAGGGTCACCATGAAACTCAAATATGTTAGGTTGATGTTAGGTGCCGGTTCCAATTCATAGCCACTCTATGCACAACACTGTCCAAGCCTGCGCCATCCCCACAGTTGCTGTTAAATTTGAGTCATTATAGCTACTAACTATGTCAATCCATCTTGTTCAAGGTCCTCCTCTTTTTCACTGACCGTCCATTTTACTAAGCATGATACAGATTACAAATAAAAGGACTATGGTGAATGTTGTTGTTGTTAACTGCCATCAAGTCGATTCCCACTCATAGTGACAGTATATTTCCTGGGTTTCTGAGGAGTAGCTTATGAGTTTGAACCACCGATCCCGGGGTTCAAAGTGACCTTGTGGTGCAGCACTTATCTACAGCACCTTTGTATAAAATTCTTGAGACTGGCCCAGATTTTAGTCCACATTGAAAATCTGGTTGGAAGTCCACATGTGCACAGTTACCAAGCCCAACAAAATAGTATGTCAGAACTGAAGGAGGAGCTCTGGTAGCGTAGTGGTTACGAATCGGGCTGCGAACCTCAAGGTCAGCAGTTCGAAACTACCAGCTGTTCTGCGGGAGAAAGATGAGGCTTTCTGCTCCCGTAAAGATTTACACCCTCAGAAACCCTGACCTGTACAGGGTCGCTATGGGTCAGAACCGACTCGATAACAACAACAACATGTCAGAACTGACTCCACGGTACTTAACAACATAACCTTTGTGCCTGTAACCACTGTGAGAATGGTGTTCCAAGGACTCAGCATTAGGAACAGGCTCCAGGGCAGTGGGGATTTTAGTTTATTTAAGTGGAGAGCTAGATGTCTTGGTGGCACAGTGGTTAAAGTGCTTAGCTGATAACTGAAAACACAGAAGTTCAAACCCACCAGCTATTCTGTGGGAGAGAGATGTGACCATCAGCTTCCATCAAGATTTACAGCCTTGGAAACCCTATGGGGCAGTCCTACTCTGTCTTGTAGATACACTATGAGTCAGAACTGACCAATCAGAGATGTGTTAGATTTTTCTGGAATCTTTAGAGGACCTTGTTCCCATGGAGCGGTTGGTGAATTCTGACTGTCAACCTTTTAATTAGCACCCAAGTGCTTTAACCACTGCATCACCAGGACCCGTAATCTCTTCGAGAAATCTTCCATCACCCGGATTGCCAGACCTTTTCTTCCGTGACATATCTATGTGGATTAAAACTGCAAACTTTTGTTTAGTAGCCAAGCATAAACCTTTTATGCCATCTAGATACCTTCTCTCCTCCCTTTGCTTTATTCTCCTTTATGGTACTCACCACCTACCTGACATTATATTTCTTTGCAGTTCCTGGGTGTTCACCTGCTCATCGACAGTTTGGAGATTTCAATCCACCCAGAGGTGCTTTGGAAGAAAGGTTTGGTGATATACTTCTGAACAATTACAGCCACTGAAAACCCTATGCAGCAGTGTTCTACTCTGACATACTCTGGAGTCACCATGAGTTCAATCAAGGGCAACTGGTTATTCATTCATTCATTCTGTCATTCATTTTATAGTCTATCCTCCCCCATCCTTATCACTATCTGCCTAGCACATAACAGGTGCTCAATAAACATTTGTGTCCATATGGGCGTTTCCCTGGGGTGGGGACCATAACTTTCATCACCTCATCTAGAGGGCCTGTTGTTGTTAAATACCTTCAAGTCAGTTCCAACCCACAGCAACCCTGTGTAGGGTTTCCAGTGAGTGGCTGTTGAGTTTGAACTGCTGATGTTGTGGTTAGCAGTTCAGTGCTTATCCTAAGGTGCCACACCAGGACTCCCAATGGGACCTGGTATACACCAAATTTTTAAATGTAATCTAAGGTCAGTTCTGGATGATATGTGGTCATACAGGGAGGGAGAAGATCTAGAAGCGAGCCCAAGGAAGGACTAAAAGGAGAATCTTGGAAGAACTTTGGAACCCTTCCACAAGTGACCCATGGAGGATGATGGAGGCAGGTGGAGAGAGGACCCCAGGACTCTTCCCTATCCTGCCTCCCCACGTTTGGGGAAAGTACCACCCCTTCCCGTTCTCTTCCAGCTTGTCCTTGTAATAGGACCCAGTGAGGAGAAAGAAACACCACACTAGGCCATTCCAAAGACAAGAAGAAACACTCTTTAATTACCAGAGTCCCACGCCGGGGACCCCCAAACGGAGCCAAAACCCAACAACTTAAAATGCGATCCGGGCTCTACTTTGCCCTTAAAACAAAAACCGAGGCAGTTAACCATTTTTATCTTTCCTGCGGAGCTTCTTTGTCAACAATGTCGGAGAATGAAAAAGCGAGAAAAAAATTTTTTACCTTTATCCAGCTATCATGATTTGGGGGTTGGGCCGGTGGGTCCTTTCTCCCCTCTCTAGGAGAAAGGACCCATAAGGGATTAGGGTTTGCGGGCTCGAGCAGGATACAGTAGACCCAACAGTGGAAAGAGTAACCAGAGCCAGGAGAAAGAAACTATTGGCTCACCATCCTGGAATAAGCTTGTCATGACATAGTGTCCCCATTGACACAGTGTCCCTCCAGCCTCTCCCCTTTCCCTCTCCCAGCACCTGGCGCAGGGACTGCTTAAAGGCGGGGAAGGAACGATCCAGCGTGGTCCCCGAGGAAGCGGTGGGTCTTCAGACATATGAAGAAGGTAGAGAAGGCTGGTCTCCGGTGATGTCTTCATATTGAAGGGTTTCGACCGGTGTGTCTGGGCCAGCCTCGGTCACTGTCCCAAAATTCTAAACTATAGTCACCCTGGGCGAATCAACTGGGGTCTTCTAGGTCCAAGGATCCAAGAAGTCCACAAGAAATGAAGACTTGGTGCTAGGATGTTGTCAAAGAAGCAGGACATCCATGAACTTGGAAGATCATGGACTTGAATCCAGATAGAACCACAGGGCTGTGAGGTCCAAGAAGGCAAGGCTGGCCTGGCTTCCCCCCGCAAGTTCCTATGATTTGAAACCTAGCAGGGATAAGTTTTGAGGGGCAGATACTCCAAAAAAGCGAGGGGAGTCCAGGGAAAGTCTTAGGGTATGGGTTGTGAGTACCTCCTGGTCCTCAGCGCTTGACCTTACGACCAGCTGAGTTGCGTCCACTGCGGCGGTAGAGGGACTGCTGGCCACCATTGAGTGGACAGTACTTGAGTGTGTGGGCCTGGCCCCCAGTGGCCCCACACAGGGGACACACATAGTGCCTCAAGATGGGACAGACCACCACACCCTCTGGCGTCTTCAGCTGGTGTGAAGAGTAGACATTCCGAGACTCTCCATTGTGCTTGCAGAAGTTGCACATGTTGGGCTGGCCCCCGTTGGCCCCGGGCCCTCCCAGACCCTCATTCTGACCCAGTGGAGGCCCAGGTCTTTCCTCTCCGACCCCTTGATCCTCGGGCCTTTGCCTCCGACTCTGGATTAGCGCCAACACCACTTGGCTCAGGTTCAAGTAATCCTTCCACATGTTGAAATGTAGCGACTTCATGGAGCCAGAGTGGGGCATGGAGGATCCTAGGGGCACTGGGGTTGGGGTGGAGTAGCGGAGTGTGTGGAGCAGAGAGGAGCTACACACCCGCCTTTTTATATTCCACAGAACCCCTTCTAAGGAAAGGTGGAGCTTAGGATTTAAAGGGCCCACTCCCTCCCTGTGACCCCCAACTGACTCTAGCTCCCCAAGGAGATCCTGCAAGAGGACAGTCCCCTGGTCTCAGGTCCCTGCTCTGTCTCCAAGGTGCTCTGTGAGCTCCCGGAAGGCCCTTCTCCTCCCTAGGCCTCAGTTTCCCTATATGTTCCATGATACTCCATGTCTATAAATGCCTCCCATCTTCTTCTCCGTATACTCCAGAGCCATTCCCAATAATGATGCTGTTTTTTTTACTAGCTGCCATTGAGTTGATTCCAAATCCTAGTGACTCCATGTGACAGAGCAGAACAGACCCCAGGCTATAATCCTTATGGAAGCAGATTGCCAGGTTTTTCTCCCACGGAGCTGCTCGGTCAGTTCGAACTACCAACTTTTCAGTTCGCAACCAAGTGCTTAACTGCTGTGCCACCAGGGTCCGATACTGTGCTGCACAGTAACCTACATGGTCTGAATTCATTCTTGCAACCACTCCAAGAGGTCAACACTATTACGATCCCATTTTACAGATGAGTAACTGAGGCTCAGAGAGGGAACTTTATTGAACCAAAGTCACACAGCATGTGAGTGGCAGAGCTGGGACTCCAACCAAGTCTGAGGGATTCCAAAGCTATAAATATTCCTCCCCCTCTTTAGGATTAAAACCTTATTTTTCATCACACCCTTAAACATTGTGATGATTGGTTTTGTTGCTGTTGTTAAGTGTTGTCGAGTCAGTTCCGACTCACAGAGACCCTGTCTAGGGTTTCCAAGAAACAGATGGGGGGTTTGAACTGCCAACTTTGTGGTTTGCAGTCCAGTGCTAATCCTACAGCGCCACACCAGGAGTCGGTCACCAACTGTCCCATAGGGTTTTCTGATCTATAATCTTTATAGAAGCAGTTTGCCAGGCCATTCTGCCAGAGTTGCTGGGTGGACTTGAACTGCCAACCTTTGGGTTAGAAGCTAATTATAAACCACGTGACGTGTGACCCCCAGCTCCTTACATCCTGAATTCACTCTCATTCACTGCCATCAAGTTCATTCCAACTCATAGTGACTCTACATAGGGTTTCTTTACAGAAGCAAACAGCCTCATTTTCCTCCCAAGGAGTGGCTAGTGATTTTGAACTGCCAATCTTGTGGTTTGCAGCCCAATGCCTTCACAGGGCCACCAGGGCTCCTTACATCCTGAACTGTTATTGTGTGCCATTGAGTCAGTTCTGACTCTGCATAGGGTTTCTGAGTGAACTTGAACTTTGTGATTAGCAGTCCAGTAATTATTCTACAGCTCCATACCTGGACCCACATCCTGAACTAGGAGACACTTACTCAACAAATATTTATTAAGTACACTTTCAGTAAGGAGCCTGGTGGTGCGGCGGTTAAATACTCATCTGCTAACTTGGGGGGGGAGGGGGGGGTAATTTGAACCCACCCAGGGCTCCACAGGAGAAAGACTTGACTATCTGTTCCTATAAATGTTGTTGAGTGCCATCGAGTCAGTTCCAATTCATACTGACCCTGTATAGGGTTTCCAAGGAATGGATAGTAGATTTAAACCACCAACCTTGCTTTTAACAGTGCAGTACTTAGTCTATGGGAGTTCTGGTGTGGTACTGTGGGTTAATGCACCAGACTGCAAAGCCATTTGAACTGCAAGGTTGTCAGTTCAAGCTCACCAGCTGCTCCTCGGAAACCCTATACAGGGTCGCTACCGACTCGATGGCACTTAACAACAACAACTTAGTCTATAGTACCACACCAAGACCATGTAAAGATTACAGCCTAGAAACCCTGAGGTAGTTCTACTTTGTCAAATGCAGCTGCTCTGGGTTGAAATTAACTCAACAGCAACCAACAACAATACATAGCTCAGTGTTTTCCAAACCTCATAACGAGTGGGGAGCACTTTTGTTTCCATTTTACAAAGGAGACTATGCAATTCAGAGAAGATTAAGGAATGTACTCAACATCACACAGAAGGAAGAGGGCAGAGCTGGAGATTAATACTTATATCTGACTCTCCTAACACTGGGAATTCACCTTAAAAAGGGCAGACAACCTCTCAGTCCTATCCATTGTCCCAAATTCTTCCTTATCTTCAGGACCAAGCAAAATCCTTTGTCACCTGCCCACTCCACCTCCAGGGACACTTCCTCCACCTTTGAGCATTCAGCAGGTAGCTCACTGTTGGAGCTCCCGTGTTGGGCTATGGAAATGCAGCAGCAGGGACCAAGGTGACAGCAGGGTAGGGAAAGGAGGAATGGAAGTAAGAATCACAGGGAGGAAGTGGGATAAGTGATGTTACATTGAGGAGATTGTAATCATTGAGATGAAATGAAGTGCACAATTTATTGAAGTAAAACTGGTTATCTGTTCAGTAAATCTTACTCCATTCACAATAAAAAGTTAAAAAGAACCAACAATATAAGCCAAGGTCAATCTTTTGGTCCTTACCTTCAAAGCAGTAGGAAGTCATTGAAGGATTTAGACAGGGGACAGATGTCATCAGAACTGTACTTTAGGAAGATCCCCTGTTGCTGTTAATTGAATGTGGATGGTGGGGGCGGTGGATTGCCTTGGTCATCTCATATTGTCTTGGTTTAGTCAGGGACAAATTTTAAATAAAGTCTACCAGGAGCTCCTGATGGTTGAGACCATGTCTTGTCTCCAGAAAGACATGTTATCTCTGTGGATGGGCTCTCAGTTGGGAGGTAACGAAAAGAGGAATTTGTGACTGTCACAGGAAAGGTCTTCTTAAAATGTGACTTCTAACTTTCTGCCATTTCCTTTTGAGGCAGTAATTTACATAATGACTTCTGTGATGTGTGTCTTCACTTGGAGGTCAGGGCACTGAAACATTTCTCAGCATTGCCTAGTGTGGGAATGGGCAGAGAGGAGGAGGCTGGAGAATGTTAGCTGAATGAATGAATGGATGGGTGTTAACTATCAAAACAAAACAAACAACAACAACAACAACAAATGTTCCTATGAAGTCGATTCCACCTCCTGGCAACCCAGAGTATTACGAAGTAGAATTGTTCCATAGGGGGTTTCTTGGTTGTGATCTTTACAGAAGCTGTTGGCCAGGTCTTTCTTTCAAGGTGCCATTGGGTGGGTTTGAACAGCCAATGTTTAGGTTAGTTTGTTGTTGTTGTTGTTATGTGCTGTGGAGTCAGTTCCGACTCATAGGGACCCTGTACAGGGTTTCCGAGTCTATAAATCTTTACAGAAGCAGAAAGCCTCATCTTTCTCCTGGTAGTTTCGAACTGATGACCATGAGATTAGCAGCTCAATTCTTAACCACTATGCTACCAGAGCACAAACACCCTGGAACCCTATGTTGTTGTTGTTGTTAAGTGCCGTCGAGTCGGTTCCGACCCATAGCGACCCTGTACAGGGTTTCCGAGGGTGTAAATCTTTACGGGAGTAGAAAGCCTCATCTTTCTCCCACGGAGCAGCTGGTAGTTTCGAACCGCTGACCTTAAGGTTCGCAGTCCAATTCGTAACCACTACGCTGCCAGAGCACAAACACCCTGGAACCTTACAGACAATGTTAAATCTGCTTGCTCTAAATGTCCACAGATCAATATGTGTTTCACATGAGTGCCTCCTAAGTTTTGAGTGTTAATAGTATCCTTCACAGCTCAGTTCTGATGTCCTCTTCTTCCAGGAAACCCTCTCTGACCTCCCAGGCTGGGTTAGATGCCTTCTCTGGGATGCCCCATCCCAGCCCTGCAGACTCTGGGTCATCACTGTCTGGGATGGGTCTGTCTTTCTGTCTCTTAACTGTGAACCAGGGAGGGCAGGACATGGCTATTCTCACAGAACCCTAACATGCCATATGTCATTTAACCCTTATCACTTACTTAAGTTAATTACTATTATTATTCCTGGTTTGCAAAGGTAATAATTTATGTTCAGAGAAGTTAAAAGTGACTTGTCCACAGTTCCACAGCCAGCAAGTAGCAGAAATGTAATTTGAATCAGGGTCTGGCAGAGTCCAAAGCCTTTGCCATTAACCATTGACCTATATTATTATTAAGCACTGTCAAGACATTTCTGACTCATAGAAACCCTGTATAGGGTTTCCAAGGAGCAACTGGTGAATTTGAACCACCTATCTTGTATTAGCAGTCCAATGCTTATCCTGCTTTATCACACCAAGCCTCTCCCATTGCCCTATGGTGGTGGCGGTGGTGTGCCGTGGAGTTGGTTCTGACTAATAGCGACCATGTACAGGGTTTCTGAGGCTATAAATCTTTACAGGAGCAGAAAGCCTCATCTTTCTCCTGCGGAATAGCTGGTAGTTTCGAACAGCTGACCTTGTGGTTTGCAGCCCAATTCATAACCATTATGCTACCATTGCCCTATACAGGTTCAATAAATACTTGTCTGGTTGATCTGATAGAGACCGGTGGAACCCTGAGACTCTGAGCCTTAATCACCCTTCAGAGTCTTGAACTGAAATCATCCACCTATGGCTCAATTTTCAGCCAAACAACAGACAGGTGTATAAGGGTACACTGGGGAAGCACAGACTCCTTAGAATAATGAACTATTTGAGATCAAAGGGCAGCATTAACCCAAGGACAAAGTTCAGAAGGGTTAGGAAAGGAAGAAGATTAGAAACAGAAAACACAGGGAAGGAATGGAATGAGTGTTGTTATATTGTGGGGATTGCATTCAACAAACTGTGTAAGAATTGTTGAATGAAAAACTACCTGCTCTGTAAAATTCTCACCCAATTCACAATAAAAAGTTAAATATAAATAAGTACATACTTGTTAGCTGAATGAATGAAATGAATGAATCTGAGAACTACAAAGCATCTTCTAGATAACCCAGCTCACCCCATTTCC